TAGAGTTTAGCTCTCCAACCATAATCAAACACACCTGATCCAGCTAATCAAGGTCTTCAGGATTACTAGAAACTTCCAAGCAGGTGTGAGTTGGAGCTGGTTGGAGCTAAACTGTGCAGAGCTGCGGCCCTCTAGGAATTGAGTTTGACACCACTGGTCTACAGTATTGCGACTGATTTTTTTTTTCTTTCTTTTTTTCAATCAGTACAAAGAAATGCAAGTACTGGCAGTGCATCAGATGGAGAGATTTAAAAGTTAATCAAAAGATGGCTGCTGCTCACTTTGGACAGAGATGGGGGAAGAAAAGAGCAGGCCCGAATGCAAACAAATTCTTCCAAAGGCATGTTCCAAATGTTAACATTTACCAAAGTTACCATTCATGTTATCAGTCTTAGATTGTCTGAATAACCATACGTGTCATTGTCTGTTCCCCTTTTTGTCAATCTGTCCCTCTTTTAGGGTACGCTACTTGAGGAATCTCCTGGAGTTTTTTTTGTTTGTTTCAAATAAATTCTAATATCACTCATATTTTCATAGTGTCATTTTTTTCATAGTGGGGACACATATGGATGTTATGGGGTAGTAGGTGGGGATGCCATGAAAAGAAATGGTGTAAGGCAAACCCTTACTCTATGTAAAGGTGACATTTATTTGACTTGCATAAGTAGATGTAGGCTTAATAAGGACACTGTAAAATATATATTTTATTTTAGTTGGAAGTAGATGCCATCTTAAGGATTTTAAGGAAACAATGTAATTTTGTGGAAAACCTAATTATTCAAAGCAAGCTGGAAGAGAAACATTAGTCATCCCGTGCTTAGCGCTTATTAAGTCAAGTGTGTTCAGTTAAAGGCACAAGACTAGATTCCCCCCAAACCGAGACAAACCACAAAGAGACAGCCAAGTGAACGGGTGCTTTGGTGGAAAGATTCAAGATAACGTAAACAGGCAGGAATGCGAAGTAGAAAGATGTGGAGCAAGATGCTATTATCTGTGTGGTAGAGATCTCTCTAGAGCATACAAGATGGATTTCACAAGCAAGAAAGAGGTAGGAAAAACACTAAAACCACTTTTGCCTGGACACTTTTCCCTGATGTATTCCAAGAACACACAGAACAACTGAAACTTTGCAGGAGACCACGTATGAACCCAAAAATGATTATGATTGGACAAAGACACCAAAGAGGACTGGAGTTTATAGTCTAATTGGAGCACCAACATCTCTAAAGCTATAAAGTTTTTCTGAAACCTAGCATTATTGAGCGCCAAATCATCATCTTTACACCAGCTAGGTGTGTGGAATCATATAAATGTCCATTCAATCCCAAAGGAAGGTTAAAACCTGAGAAAGAGGCGTGAAAAGACAATGTTGTTTTTCCAATTAGGAGGACTTTCACAACTACTTGCCTGGTATCCACTTGGTCCAGGTAACACACAGATGCTTTGCACACACCTGTCAGGGCCAATGGGTTAAGCGCAGTTCATTTCCACAGTCCTTTAGCAGATTAGTGTCTTACCTTGCAACAATTAGCTTCTAAGCATTAAGTGTTCAATTCACATCTAGAAAGAGTGAGGCAGTGTCAAAAAACATGTTTACATTAGATCATACAACAACCTTCTGAACAACCAAATGCATATATCGTTTGTCCTAATAGTGGGTTTCACATGGACAAATACTCAAAGTGCAGACACTGACCAGCGCCATTGTGGGTGGGTGAACGTGCTGCGTGCTCGACTGTATAAAGAAAAAGATTCTCCTGTAAACCTAACAGTGAAAGGGAACAAAATAGGTCACTGTGAAGAGATATTTCAGACCACACAATCAACCAGTCAATGGAAATTAACCACTCTATGTACTGATGCTGAGCTCTGGGGGAGGGGAATTACCCTGCATTATACACTCTTAAAAATGCTGGGTTGTTTCAACCCAATTTTGGGTCAAATATGGACTAACCCAGCTGTTGGGTTAATTTTTTTAATTACATTTTTAACCCAAAAGTTGGGTTCGTCCATATTTGACCCAAAGTTGGGTTGAAACAACCCAGCATTTTTAAGAGTGTATCTTTAGTCATGTTGCTTTTTTCATATCTTCTCTCACAGTATGAATGACAAGAATAGTTGCTGTAGTTGCAAACAAAACAAAAATTAAACATGAAAAATTACTGGACAAGAGAGAAGTTCATAGGACAAACAGAATCCCGAAGGATGCATGTCATCAACCTTTTGTTAGCTAGTAATTTGAATATGTTTATGAAGTCCTTACACTAGCTGTTTGGTATCCATCATCAATCAGTGCAAACAGCACACTGTTATTGAAAATACTGCCAACATTTCCCTTCCCCCACCAGCAGCTTCGGGGAAATACATACCGCCATGTACAGCCAAACACGTGATACTGCCTGTTGCCTTCAAGTGAAACTTGACCAATATCTTTGAAAAAAGCACTGATAAAAACACGCTCCTACGACACTTAAATAGTGCCCAGGAATGGCCATGGCCATCAGACAGCATTGTGACCTGCATTACTCTACTACTTACAACCAAATACTGTATAACTTTCTTCATCGTGTTCTAGCGTAACTTATCCAAAGCAACAGCTTCTCAAAAAATAAACAGTTGTGGACAGAAATAGCTTAGAGTTTGACCTCTCACTGGGATGCGATGCAAGTTACTGTGGAGGATACTGTTAAAATAAGAAATGTGCTCATCTGAATTAGATCAAGATCATTTTTAAGATGATAACATGGGCTTTAGAACACCAAACAGACATTTTAAATTGGTTTTAAATGAAGATTAGTCAGATGTTTGACCTAAAAATGCAAAAATTCACTCTAAACCCTTAAAAAGTATACTAGGAGTAACAAACACGCAAAACAGCCTGTAAACTTTAGAAAGGACAGGATGAGCAGTCAGCATCAAAATTTCACCCACTCCAATAAACAGCACTCAATTCAAGACCAAGGTGTAAAAAAACAGCCCTGATGTCAACTTTGAATTTTACACTCTGAGGCCATTTGATAAAAACACAGTATAGTTGTATAAAATTGTTTTTGCTTGTTATATTTCATTATAAATTGAAACTGTGAGTTTTGACACTCATTTAGAAAAACCAACCAAAACAAAGAAAAAAAAATCCACTTCTAAAACTGCTACATATGCCTTTATCCCTGAAAAGCTAAGGAATCTCTATGAAACAAGCTTCGGCAGCACTGTGCGAAAAGGTATACTTCCAGTGGAGTCCCCCATCATGGTGGTCCGCAGTTTGTTGTTGGTTGAGCCCATGACAGTGGGTACCTTGGATATGATAGTAGGGAAAGAGGTGCTGTGCTCCGTGATCCGTTTGGGCACCATGGACTTCTCGCCACCAGGTGCAGGCTTAGGCAGTCTCTTGTAGAGCCAGGGGTGCCTTAAGGCCTGAACTGGTGTCATTCGAGTACTAGGGTCCCAATCCAGACACTTCTTCAGAAAGTCAATGAACGTGGCATCATCACAGCCTTTGAGGGCCGACCCCCACTCCTTGCTTCCTGGGGGACCTCGCAATTTTCCTCGGCGAGAACGGCTCCCATTGAGGACTATGGTGCCATTACTAAGTGTGCTGACCGTGCAGTAGCGTGGGTGGCCTTTGGAGCTGATAAAGTTCTTGGCACGCTTGGCTTGTTCCAGCAGTTTCTGAGGTGGTATACCCAGTAGCTCCATCATGCAGGCCAGCTGGTCACCTTCATCTTCACCAGGAAACAGAGGGTATCCGGTAAGCAGCTCTGCCAGAATGCAACCAAAGCTCCACATGTCTATAGGCATACCATATCGCAATCCCAAGATGACTTCGGGTGCACGGTAGAAGCGGGATTGGATGTACGTGTAGACACGCTGGTGATCGAAACAGCTGGAGCCGAAGTCAATGACCTTGATCCCACTCCTGCCTTGCTGCTTCAGTAAGATATTCTCTGGTTTCAGGTCACAGTGGATGATCTTATGGCGATGGAGTGCTTCCAGGCATTGGAGAATAGAGTGTGCAAACTTGCGTACCAGCGGGAGACTGAAACCCTGAAACTTGTTGCGTTTGATGAGCTCGTACAGGTTCATGCTAAGCAGCTCAAATGTCATACATATGTGATTGCGAAAGGTGAAATTCTCCAACATGTGGACTACGTTCATGCTGCCTGTCTTGTCTTGCTTCTTCAGGTGCTCCAGAATTCGGATCTCCTCAGCAGCTTGCCGGTGGAAGCGCTTCTCGTTGCGCACCATCTTCAAGGCGAGGTGCTGCTGTAACTTGTGGTCATAAACTTTCGCCACTTGTCCGAAACTACCTTTGCCGATCACCTTGAGGAACTCGTAGCGATAGGCAAGGTGGTCATGAGGTACATGGATGTATCCTCCCTGGTCATCGTCATATCCACTATTGTTGGTGCCCCCAGCTACTGCCTGCCTCTTCTTGGCATTTGGTCCCAGGAAATAAATCTCAGGATAGTTGTGGATCTCCTGCTGCTCCAAGGTAGTCAGTTGCTGCCGGTATTGCTTGAGAGCTTGTTCTGGGGTCATTGGGCTGCCCAGCTTTGTGACTTTTGTTGAGCTCTCGGATGACTTGACAGAGCAGTTGCTGTCCACACTTCTGTCTTTGGAGATTGCAGGTTGGGGCTTAGCTGGTACTTGGCTTGTGCCATTGTGCTGGCTCACACCATTGAGTTTGCGGTTGTAGGTGTCCTCATAAAAATACTTCACCTTCTGTCCTCCGCGGACTGCTTGGTGATCCTTTATTGTAGGCTTGTTCACACCCTACAAAAGGAAAGAAATATTTTAACAGTTTGTCAAACGGTTACATCAAGTACAAGACAAATATGAGGTTGACCAAAGCCAACATTATCTTTTCAGCTAAGTGGATGTTCAAAATCAATCTCTTATCTCTTCTGGTTTCTGCGCTGACCTGAAAAATCAATGTACTGCAGCTCTGAGGTTTTATCAGACCAGTGTTAAATAATCAATAGCGCAAACGTGCAGAATTGATCAGCTGTCTAGTAACCCTGGGAATAACATGAGACCAGTGGAGAGGTTTGATGCATGAGTGATAATTGCAGTGACAGAGAATGCCAGACACAGCCTTTGCAGTGTGATTGGAACGTGAACTGAAAACTGGTGGAATAAGATGTTACTTTCATACTCACAGGGGATACGGAAAAAACCTTTGAAGCAGTGTTAATTTGAAGCACATTTTGATTTAGTTTTAAAATTCCATTTAGTTTTGGTCATATTTTAGTCTGAATTGTTTTTAGTTTTAGTCGACTAAATGTAAGATTTTAGTCGACTAAATCTACAGTAAATTTAGTCGGCTAAAATCTAATGGGTTTAGTTACAGTGTAATGCATTCATTAAGCATTTCTCTAAAATTTCCAAACTCATTATATAGGTTTGATATTAAGGTTTTATCATGATAGACACCGATTTAACTGCTGTGACACACAACATGCCTTTATGTTAAAATTAAATAAAACCACTTCTCACAAAGAACAAGAACATGGTATACTTTTTAATGAAATACCAATGGTTATATAGGCTAATTATGCATTCTTTATAGCAACTTGTTTACCATATTCTTCATTCTTTCAAGCAGACATTTATTTCTATAAATAAATTTAGATAAATCTTTAAGGCTACTAAAGTTTTTCAGTCAAGAGCAGTGCATTCAAAAAGAGTTTTAGTTCGTTATCGTCTTGTTGTCGTCTGTGAAAAAATTTTTGTTGACGACAATTATAACGAAAATTATTCGTCAAACAAAATTAACACTGCTTTGAAGGCAAGAGTCTAATTGTTGAGACCTGCAAACATGCTGAATGCTTCAAAACATAATGCAATTTAAATACAGAACTAACTACATTTCAGTAGACTGGGAAAACAAAGCAATGTGGAAATTTTCTTTTAGAAAGGGTGTATGACTTCACCATGACAGGTCCTTCATATACTTTTAGCACAGCACTTGGAAAGAATTCTTGCCATGGTTGAGAAATAGCAACTAAACCTAACTATATCATTAAATATGCACTGAACTTTTGCCTTACAAAATAAACATGTCATTAATCAGGGTTCCCACTCTTTTTCAGTGATCATTTTCCAGGACTTCGAGGACTTTTCCAGGACATTTTTAATTAAATTATGGCGACAATTAAACACAAGGATCACACCCTAAAATAATATATTCCCCGCTTGAGAAATCTTTAAAAACATACAGTTTATGGCCATGACTGAACTATAAAATCAGTCTAATATGAGCTCTTAATTATACATTACAATGATTTTCAGAACCAATTTCAGTACCATAGCAAAAAAAAAAAAATATATATATATATATATATATATTTAATTATCTTATTTACATATTTGAAAATAAAAATAAATTAAATCAGTTCATTATTGATGCTAATAATAATATTAAAGAAAATTATATTTTAAAATATTGACATGTATCCTTCAAATATTTTTCAATTAAGTATTTCTTTAAAAGGGTCAAATTAAAAATGAGTGGATTCTGACTAACTTAAACACCTCTGACTGGCCATTGCATATAACAGTTCATGGAAAGCGATATAAATACGCACAGAAGCATTTGAAAGCAGCTGCCTATCATCGAATACTGATATGAGTCTGTACTTGGTACTACCAGGGCTGCACAAAGGCCGGTATTGTTAAGTTTTAAAATTTTTAGTTTCGACTTGGTACAGAAGTACTAATAGCCTACTTTTGACAATAATCAATACTATTATTTAACAAGTTACTGAATTACAGAAATACTTCTCTTAAAGTTGACCACTGGAGAGAAGGTTCCGATTCTGATTTATTTACAAGCAAATGGGCCGATTTCAATACTGATTTGTTAAATTTTTTTTTTTTTAAAGCAAGAGATAAGTTAATGACTAAATATGAGTACATGAACAAGATGTTTTTTGCTCTATCACAGGCCGAACTCTCTGTAGCCATTTAAAATTAGACACAACCACTGCATTTTTATCACACTGGCCATTGCATATAACAGTTCATGGAAAGCGATATAAATACGCACAGAAGCATTTGAAAGCAGCTGCCTATCATCGAATACTGATATGAGTCTGTACTTGGTACTACCAGGGCTGCACAAAGGCCGGTATTGTTAAGTTTTAAAATTTTTAGTTTCGACTTGGTACAGAAGTACTAATAGCCTACTTTTGACAATAATCAATACTATTATTTAACAAGTTACTGAATTACAGAAATACTTCTCTTAAAGTTGACCACTGGAGAGAAGGTTCCGATTCTGATTTATTTACAAGCAAATGGGCCGATTTCAATACTGATTTGTTAAAAAATTTTTTTTTTAAAGCAAGAGATAAGTTAGAATGAAAATATGAGTACATGAACAAGATGTTTTTTGCTCTATCACAGGCCGAACTCTCTGTAGCCATTTAAAATTAGACACAACCACTGCATTTTTATCACAATCCAAAGAAAGAATCAGAATCAGAATCAGAATTAGCTTTATTGCCAGATATGTTTACACATACGAGTAATTTGTTTTGGTGACAGAAGCTTCCACAGCACAAACAGAATGACAGTGACAAGACAGATAATAACAATAATAAAAATGGGTTAAGTAAATAGGAAATAACAATACACACACAAAAAAAAAAATATCTACAAAGTAGACAATAGATGGTTTTTGTGTGTACATGTGTGTTATGTACAAATGCAAGGAATGGTAAAAAGTGGTATGTTAAATAAATAAATGTATAAATAGTGTTGTGTATTGCACGTTTATTGCCAAGTTAGCTGTTCATGAGATGGATTGCCTGAGGAAAGAAACTGTCCTTAGGCCTGGCCGTTCTGGTGCTCAGTGCTTTGTAGCATGAACCAGACGGCAAAAGTTCAAAGAGGAAGTGGGCTGGGTGTGAGGGGTCCAGAATGATTTTGCTAGCCCTTTCACTCTGGATGAGTATAGTTCTTGGAGAGTGGGGAGGGTTGAACCAGTGATTCGCTCAGCAGTCCGGACTATCCGCTGCAATCTTCTAAGTTCTGATTTGGTAGCTGAGCTGAACCAGACAGTTATAGATGTGCAAAGGATGGATTGAATGACTGCAGAGTAGAACTGTATCAGTAGCTCCTGTGGCAGGTTGAACTTCCTCAGCTGGCGAAGGGTCTTTTTTTACAATGGAGTCTATGTGGAACTCCCACTTCAGGTCCTGAGAGATGGTGGTGCCCAAGAACTTGAATGACTCCACTGTTGCCACAGTGCTGTCCATGATGGTGAGTGGGGGGAGTGGAGGGGGGTTCCTCCTGAAGTCAACTATCATCTCCACTGCTTTGAGCGTGTTCAGCTCCAGTTATAACTGCACCAGACAGCCAGCTCTTTAACGTCCTTTCTGTAAGCAGACTCGTCACCGTCCTGGATGAGGCCGATAAGTGTGACGTCATCTGAGAACTTCAGGAGCTCGACAGAGGGGTCTTTAGAGGTGCAGTTGTTGGTGTACAGGGAGAAGAGCAGTGAGGAGAGAACACATCCCTGAGGGGCACAAGTGCTGATGGTGCGGGTGCTGGATGAGAATTTTCCCTGCTTCACTAGCTGCTGCCTGTCTGTCAGGAAGCTGGTGATCCACTGACAGACGGAGGTGCCACAGAGAGCAGAGTTAATTTGGACATGAGGAGGTTTGGGTCCCTGGTCTGTCCAGATGTTGTAGGGTATAATGCAGTCTCTTGTTGACTGCATCATCCACAGACCTGTTTGCTCGGTAAGCAAACAGCAGGGTGTCCAGCAAGGGTCCAGGGATGTCCTTCAGGTGGGCCAGCACCAGGCTTTCAAATTACTTCAAGACCACAGGTAAAAGCAGGTTAAAGTCACAGGTTTGTAATCATTTAGTCCTGTAATTTTGGGTTTCTTTGGGATGGGGATGATGGTGGAGCGTTTGAGGCAGGAAGGGACTTCGCACAGCTCAAGTGATCTTTTTAAGATTTGTGTGAAGATGGGGGCCAGTTGGTCAGCACAGGTTTTTAGACAGGCTGGTGGCAGGCGTCGCTTCTGGAACAGCAGCGATACAGCGTTTCCTTGGTTACCGCTGTAAACAAAGCAGTGCTGCGCCAAAAAATATTAATTTAATATGCATTATACAGAGGCAAAGTGAAAAGAAAATACCATCTAAACTTTCTGAAGACAATCAGTATCCCACAGAGGTACATTCATGTAAACACCCACCCCCAATTCAATATTAAAAATTTTCGTCCAATATTTCGTGCATCATTGTGTGCAAGTCCAGAACAGATATCGGCTGAAACAAAACAAAAGAGCCGATTGCCATTCGCGCATTTGGAGTTAAAAATGGCCAGTTTATGGCCGTTTGAACATTTTCTACTACTAACATTAATGGCTTCGTGCCAGTGGTAAACTGTTCATTCTTGGCTAAAGGAAAACAAAATTAAATTTTTTAAAAGAATAATTTTCCAGGACAACTACAAGATTTTCCAGGACATTTTACATTATTAATTTAATATGCATTATACAGAGGCAAAGTGAAAAGAAAATACCATCTAAACTTTCTGAAGACAATCAGTATCCCACAGAGGTACATTCATGTAAACACCCACCCCCAATTCAATATTAAAAATTTTCGTCCAATATTTCGTGCATCATGAACAGTGAGCTGCTCTGCCTGCTACAGTATTTTTCTCATCTTTGTGTTCGGCTTCAGCATCTCTGGCATTTGTTAACATCCCGTTTACAGACTTCGTATTATTTCCACACAAATGGCATTTTGGAAAAAGCTTGCAATACAGTTTGTGTGCAAGTCCAGAACAGATATCGGCTGAAACAAAACAAAAGAGCCGATTGCCATTCGCGCATTTGGAGTTAAAAATGGCCAGTTTATGGCCGTTTGAACATTTTCTACTACTAACATTAATGGCTTCGGGCCAGTGGTAAACTGTTCATTCTTGGCTAAAGGAAAACAAAATTAAATTTTTTAAAAGAATAATTTTCCAGGACAACTACAAGATTTTCCAGGACATTTTACATTTTCTCTCATTTTCCATGTGTTTTCCAGGACTGGAAAATTAGTCATCAATTTTCCAGGACACGTGAGAACTAGGCTGGCTGTGATAGTCTGTGTTGACGGTGTTAATGTGATTTTGTAAGTGTTTATTTTTTTTACTTTGATTCCACATGGTTTGCTGATTTTTACTGTATTTAAACGTTGTGTACTTTATTTTATTTTACATCAAGGTGTATGCCGTGCCTCCAAGCTTTCTTATTCATTTTGCTAATAAACGTTCTGTGTTTCTTATTTATTTATTTTTTAATATATATTTAAACTTTGTGTAAGTTATTTATTTTATATTAGGCCTATAGCATGGTGTAATTTTATTCGATTTGTTAACAAAAGTTCTATGTTTAATATAAGTGAGTTTTTCGTTTGAGTTTGTACCATTTTGTTGTTGTCCGTTCAAGCAATTGATGCCGAATTGACGCTAATTCGAAAGTGAAAGTAAAATGTGCATGGGCATTAAGCTATTTAAAAGTGAACGAAAGTGAGGAGGAGGAAGAAAACTCCAACGAACCCCACCCCCCGGTGATACCGGTATTACCGGTGTTGTCACATGTCGATTAACTGGTAGGAAGATTTCCTCACCGTTACTACCCTAGTGGGAACCCTGATTAACAGTGGGCAGCCACAGTGTGCATTTTTGAGTGAACGGGAATAGAGGAACTCTCTTTCACATTCAGGATGTTTAATGCACCATAGCTGCTCCAAGTCCCATTTCCATTTAAGATTCCACTATCAAAGATTTATAGTTAAGCCCAAGATATATTTTGTTTGGCCCTGCATATAGCACAAGAAGAAGAACAAGAAAGCAGAGGGGAAAAAAACTTAGGTCATGCAGATAAAATTATAAGGTGCCTAGTAAACTGTGCCAATTGTTTTGGAGGGGGAAGGGGCATGGAAAGGCAGTTCCAAGGAGTGAGACAAAAATAGAAACCAGTGTGTTGGGAACTGAAGGATACTGTAGAGACAAGCCAAATGCATCAGCTGTTCAATCACAACAAAAAGACTCAAGAGCTTGGTTGACTCAACAAGGAGTACATGACCTAAATGAAATCTGTTATGTCGGTAGCTAAATGAATGATTGGAACTACTGGAAGCTGCTATGATTGTTTGAACCCTCAAATGCCAGAAAATCAAAGTCGTCCCCTCCCAGATTGTTTATTGAACATTTACGGAAGAAGATTGCTAGTTAATTTACTGAGGGTAATAACAATTACATAGTCTATCTATAGTATTTATGATCTCAGAAGTCCAGTATAGTAGCATACAAAGAAGTGATACAGCTTCAAAACAGGAAATAATGTCACCAGATCCAACACATACACAGAATTATTTATTGCATAATAGTACAGTGGAGAATCGGATTATCATATCCTTTATCATCTCCGGTCCCACGTTGACGTATCATACTGTAAGCTACATGGACCTCATTGAAAGGCTTAATCTGTCTAGTTTGAACACCTGATATTGTTTTAGTGTATTTGCTCACCATAAAAATAGAAATTTGATTAAATTACATTTTATTTATTGAAAGTTTAAAAGCACTGGCTTTCCATGTGATACACATGCTGTGAGGCACAATAAACAGACTTGATGTGCTGCAGATGTAACTTGTACCACTATCAGAATGTGGGAGGAAAGCTTGTCTAAATACGTGACGTTCCAAGATGCACAAGTGGCAGCAGAACATGTGCTTAGCTAAGACTCTGAACCACAGGGGTGAAAAATCATTTGAACATATTGAGCCTGAAGAATGGAGATCGAAAATCCGATATACAAAAGACGTCAGTGGGTTAGATTTTCAAGCTCAGCTGTTCTTTAGAATTTAATCGTGTTCTTTAGAACTGTTCATGCGAGTACTAGGGAAATATTTTCATCTAGGGCTCACTGAAAGATTCCCGTGAGAGGATGACGCCTAGAAAGTCCTGGGCACTGGGTCTGGGGGGAGAGGAAGTCAGGACTTACAGTGCGTTTTGGGAGAGGGGGAAGTCCAGAGGGACTCTGTCCATTCACATCAGCGTCCTGGTTCACAATGTGATCGGTGCGCATGTAGGAGTCATACAGACTGTCCCCGTGGCGAGCTGTGGAGAAAGAGTGAAAATGAACCCGGGATTAGGTTGTGAATACACAAGCAAAATATTAATACACTCGCCGCATCATCATCCAATATAACATTACATAAATTAGGATTTCTATTACACAAACATAAGGAAGAAAGGGAAAAAACAATGTTCCCATCTGAGAAACACAAATCCCCTTAGGGAGGTATGTAAACAAGTCGCAGGTGTGCCAGACAACAGACAGTTCCTTGAGCACATTACACAGCAGGTGGCTACATATTAAACAAAGCTTCATGACTCATTTCAGTTTCATCAGTTTCCACAACTCTGAACGATTATGTTATTAAATCATCTTATTGACCTAGACCACTTTTGCCTTAAGGCTAATTTCGTCCAAACATGATGATAATTTTCATGTCACTCCAAACCCGCATGACTTTAGTTCTTCTGTAGAACACAAAAAGGATATATTTTGAATAAAGTTTATTTTTCTGTACAATGAAAGTATAATGATGTTTTGAACCCCATTGATTTTATTGCACAGACAAAAATAAAAGCCATTTCTCAAAGAGTTTCTTTTATGTTACACAGAAGAAATAAACCATTTGGAACGACATGAGGGTGAGTAAATGAAAAAAAAATAACGAATCCAGTAGGCTGTATTACAACATGGTTGATGAAATGAGCACTAAAAAGTTTACAACATTATAAACTAAACAATCTTGGCATTTTGAAATATGTGCATCTACACAAGCCCCCACATATAATACACCTATTGGGCGTTCAGACCCCATTACTAGAACTTACTGAGATGTCAATTCAATAAACTGTTAATATGGACATGATACAGCCTATAGGGGCCATTGTTCCAACGGTCACATGCATTTTTACTGCTGACATATATGTGAAACTTCATCAGCTGGAATAAAAAAAGATATGGTTGCAAGCTTGTGAATTAACAAAGAATTATTAACACAGTGTAATTCGTAATTATTAATCGGCTGTCTTCACTTGCTAAGTGAACTAAGACCAGCCACAGCAAACTCACAGAGATGGATATTACATTTCATATGGATATAATTACCTGCAGTTATGGGGCCATCTGGTTTTCTGCTCAATATCATCATGGTTGCATGCAGTCAACATCAAATATTTATTTTTCCTCTGAAAAATGTTTTCACTAAAGCAAGATCCATCCAAAACAGCAATTCAGTGTCCGTCTAGTCTCATATCCGAGGAGAAGCTTGTCAGATGTTCAGATGCTAGATAGACGACTTCACAGTGCTGCAGGGTTCAGGCATGATCCCCTTTAAGCTGTTTTCATGAGGCTTATCAATTTGACCACCTGTATTGCAAGTCTGGAGAAGAAGTAACAGAGGTATCTGTATTTGCAACAAGAAGGTCCCAACTAATAGATACTGGAGCTAGATGTGCATAACTTCACAACTGCATCAGAAGAAACCAAATAATGGTGGGTGAGAAGCGCTCGTCCTCGATGATGATGATGATGATGAAGAAGAATCAAAGTTGAAGGGGACAAAAAAGCGTTTCCGTCGAAACAAACTGTCTCCCTAAAGCACAATGAGCTTGAGTCCAAACATTAAACCGATGTCGACCACCTCCACTCTTCCCCTCTCTTGAATTTCGTGTTGTTGGTTTGAACAGAAGAGTCATCCCAGCCAGAGCACACTAAAGCTCAGGCTAGCGTTTCCTCTTTCCCGGATAGTACAAACCTAACTTGCTTTCATTCTAAAAACAAGGTCAAATGAACTCATGCTCCCTTCCAAACACTTTCCGACATGTCAAACAAGTTTTCTCACGAATGGTCTGAGTGTTTTGGATGCGCGTTCCGTCTCGTAATGGTTTCTTAGCTTGTTGCTAAGAGCGTCGTCGGCTTCGCCCAGCGCGACGTCATCAAACAGAGCACGTCAGGGGACTGGCTGGGGCGCGGCCAAGACAACGCCATTCCGGCTCAAACTTCCTCCTTGAGTATCAGAGTACAAGGAAGTGCCTGTTGAGTTCAAATGGGGCTGTTTACTGGAGAGAAAGTTCAAATCAAGACATAAACAAAGCGAAATTGGAACGTTTCAAGTTGAATATAGTTTACTGATTTCCGTAGTGATGACAATGAAATGATTTTTTCATTTGTGTTTTATATCCTCCTGAGAACCATAAAAAAGTTTTGTGAATTTAGTTTTTTTAATGTCATTTAAATTGGTTGGTCATAAAAAACAAATGTAGGGAAAAAAACATTTAAAAAAAAAATATATATATATTTTATTCACATTT